AGCAGCAGCAGCAGCAGCAACAGCAGTGACTGCAGCTGTGGCAGCAGGACGAGGAGCAGCAGCAGCCACGATCATAGCAGCAGCAACGGTTGCAGCAGCAGCAGCAGCAGCAGCTTGTGTGTTTGCATGCAGAGCGGGGAGGAAGACTCAGCTGAAGCAGAAAGAGACGCAGGGGATTCTGGGTCAGCAGAAGCAGCAGCAGCAGCTGATGGTGTTGCTGCTGCTGCTGCAGAAAAATCAGCAACCGATGCAGCAGCAGCAGACACAGCAGCAGAAGCAGCAGCAGCACCTCTCCCCCCGCCGCGTAAGTCCCCGTCCCGTTGTCTCCAACTTGCTTGTTCGCAGCTAATCCCACCAATAAACTCACAGCTGCTGCTGCTGCTGTTGCTGCTGCTGCTGTTGCTGCTGCTGCTGCTGCAGCTGGGGACGATTTGCTGCTGGACTCTCTGCATGCGCGCTCGCGGCGCTGCAGCGCCGAGTCGGTGGAGGCTGTTGAGGACTTCCGCTTTGCTGCTTCCCAGCCCGTGAGTTGCTGCTGCTGCTGCTGCTGCTGGTGCGGCTGCTTTCGCTGCTGCGTTGGTGCCGCTGTTGCTGCTGCTGCTTCAGCTGCTGCTGCTTGTGCTCCTGCTCCTGCTGCTGCTCCTCCTCCTGCTGCTTTTGCTGCTGCGGCTTGTGCTGCTGCTGCTGCTGCTGCTGCTGTTGCTGCTGCTGCTGTTGCTGATGCTGTTCTGTTGCTGTTGTTTGGGACAACTCACAGCAACTATTTAAAAATTTTTAAATCTTTTAGTTCCCTTTTTTCTTTTTATTAATTTAATTTAATTTAATTTAATTTTGCTTTTCAAAATTCCCTTTTATACATTTAATTTCCCTTTTTCTTCTGTTTCCTCCCACTGTCTTCACTTTTATTCTTTTTTCAGTTTTTTAATCCTTAATTAAATTAATTAAATTAAATTAACAAATTAAATAAACAAATCGAAATAAATGCAACAAATTGGACCAATTAGGCATGAGCATGTGGCTTTGTCGTGTCTGCTGCTGCTGCTGCTGCTGCTGCTGGCTCACAGCAGCTGCCTTGCTGCTGCGGGCTGCTGCGGAAGCGCAGTCCTGCTGCACTTGCTGTGTGGCAGCAGCGGTGGTTTGAACTTCGGGAAAAAAGATTTTTTTATTTTAAAAAAAAAGGAGACAAAAGGCCCCTCGGAGTCCTCGATCTCGACCTCATCAAGATCAAAATCCAGGCATCTCTGCGGCTGCTGCTGCTGCTGCTGCTGCTGCTGCTGCTGCTGCTGTGCTGCTGCTGCTGCTGCTGCTGCTGCTGTGCTGCTGCTGTGCTGCTGCTGTGCTGCTGCTGCTGCTGCTGTGCTGCTGCTGCTACTGATGGTGATGATGCTGGTTATTGTTATTATTGTTGTGCTGCTGCAGCTGCTGGTGCTGGTTATTGTTATTATTGTTGTGCTGCTGCTGCTGTTCCTAATGATGATGATGATAATGCTGCTGATGATGATTATGCTGCTGCTGCTGCTGTTGATTAGGATTGTGCTGCTGCTGCCGATGGTTATGCTGCTGCTGCTGCCAGTGACTCTGCTGCTGCTGTCAATGACGCTGCTGCTGCTGCTGGCTATTGCTATTATTATCTGCTGGTGATGATGATTATGCTGCTGCTGCTGATGATAATTATGATGATGATTATGATACTGCTGCTGCTGCTGCTCAAACATGCTGCTTCTGCTGCTGCTGCTGTTGCTGCTTTATCATTTTAAATTTGCTTTTATGTTTACTAGTTCGTATTTTCACAACTCATTCATTATTAATTTATGTTTTTATTCATTTATTTATTTATTTATTTATTTGGCTGCTGCTGCTGCTGCTGCTGCAGTGCCTGTGGGACCCGCAAACAATCCCTTTGGGCCCTTCTGCGAGTTTTGTCGAAGTCGAAAGAAAAGCTTGTGAGTCTAAATTCAAATTAAATAATTAAATTAAATTAAATTAAATTAATTAATTAAATTAAATTGATTAATAAAATTAAATAAAGTAGATTAATCAATTGAACTAAACAAATTAAATCAACTATATAAATATAAATAAATAAAATTAAGTTACTCAAAACAGGAAAAGACAAAAAGAAAAAAAAGAATAAAAAAGATAAAAAAGAATAAAAAAGAAATACTAGAAGACAGAAAGAGATAAAATGTGGGAAAAAACTAAAAATAGAAAGAAAGGAAATTACAAAATCAAAAAGAAATCAAAAAAGGCAAAAAAGAAAAAAAGAAACAAAAGCACAAAAAGTGATAAAAGAATGTAAAAAGAGACAAAAGTGGATCAAAAATGAAAAACAAAAAAGAGCAAAAGGAAAAGAAAAGGAAAAGAAAAAGAAATGTAAAAAATGAAAAAGAAATATAAAAATAAGAAAAAGGAGTATAAAAGAAACATGAAAATAAGAAGTGAAATAAATATAAAAGAAATAAGAAAGAAAAGAAGTTTGAATTATTTTAATTCTTTTTTATTTTTGTTTTCAGCCTTAATGGATTTGATTTGCTGTGGCGGCAGAGAAGGCCGCAAGGGCGGAGCTGCTGCTGCTGCTGCTGCTGCTGCTGCTGGAGCAGCAGCAGCAGCGCCGAAGGAAATCGTTTTTCGCATCAAACCTGTCGGCAGCAAACGCGTCTTCGAGCTCAAGGCAAGCCGCTGCTGTTGCTGCTGCTGCTGCTGTTTGTGTATTCTAGTTTGTGGGGTTGGCGTGTAGGATTTGCTGCTGGTGGCGCGCTGCTGCTGCTGCTGCTGCAGCTGCTGCAGCGGTTGCCGTTGCTGCGTTTGCGCCGTTGCTGCTGCCGCATCTGCTGCTGCTGCTGCTGCTGCTGCTGCAGGGACCCCCACAAGAAGTGCTGTTGTGGGTGGCGTGTCTGCGAGACAGCTACCGCAGCAGCAAAGCGAAAGATGAAGAAACAGCAGCCCTTGTTGCATCTCAAAAGTGTTTTTGGAAAATAGACAGAGTAAACCCGAGGGCCTTTCAGGACGTCTGCGGAACCGGAGACATTCTGCTTTTTCGGTAGCGCGAGGGTTTAGGGTTTAGGGTTTAGGGTTTAGGGTTTAGGGGTGCGCAGGCGGCGAGAGAGAGGCTCTGCTGCGCAGAAGACAGGCACCGAGGACCCTCATATTCGCGAAGCTGCTTAGGGTTTTGGGTCGACGGTTTAGGGTTTAGGGTTTAGGGTTTAGGGTTTAGGTTTTAGGGTTTAGGGTTTGGCTCAGCACCTTGAAGTTCAACGCGCGCGTGCAGCGGCTCATCACCCGAGGCACTTATGATCATGTTGGAATGGTTTTGAGAAACCGAAGAGGAGAGGTTTACATTTTGGAGTGCATGGGCGACACGGTGAGGGTTTAGGGTTTAGGTTTTACGGTTTAGGGTTTAGGGTTTAGGGTTTAGGGCTTAGGGTTTAGGCAGCGGGCGAGGGGGGAAGCGCGCCACCTGCAAGGGTTTGGGGCCCGGGCGTGGGATTTAAACGTGAGGATAGGCACTTACTATTTTAGGGTTTAGGGCTGAGGGTTTAGGGTTTAGGGTTTAGGGTTTGTTTGTTTTCCTAAGGGGGTTATTTTGACGGCTTGGTCTTCTCTGGTCAACAACAAATGGTACAGGGTTTATCAAAGGTACGTTTGCTGTTTCTTTTGTCTGTTTTAGTCTTTTTTTGTTTCTTTTAATCTCTTTTTATTTCTTTTTTGTTTCTTCTTTTTGTTCCATTTGAGTTTCTTTTTGTTTCTTTTTTGTCTCTTTTCATCTCCCTTATCATCTCTTTCTTTCCTTCTTTCTTTCCTCCTTTTTTCCTTTTTCGCGTGTCCTTTCACTTCTGTTTTGAATCATTTCCCGTTTTGAATGCCGCCCGACCTCCCAACTGAAAGTGCACTTAAAGAAGGGGAAAAAGATGCAAAAAGATAAAACTTTCGAAGTAAAACAACAAAACGAAAGAAATAAATCGAAATAGAGAAAAAACGGGGGAAAAAGAAGTGTTTTCGGCGAAAAAGCGCTTCTTTTCCCGTGCGACTTTGCGCAAGCTGGGGTGTACGTACACCCGAAACGCGCTGTGAACGCTGCGGTGTACGTACACCGCAGAATCGTCTGGCGCCGCCTCTACTGGGCCGTCTCGGAAGAAAAGCTTTTTGCACTTTTGCAATTTTTAAAATCTGTAATTGGAAAAGATTATAAACTCACGCTGGCCAAACTTCTCACCAGAAAGCCCTACGGTGGGCCTTTTCAATTATTTATTTTTTATTTTTTATTTTTGGTTTTATTAATTGGGCTTTTATTGGGTTTGTGTTTGTTTATTTATTTCTCTGTTTATTTGTTTATTTGTTTATTTATTTGTTTGTTCATTTGTTTATTTGTTTATTTATTTGTTTGCTTATTTGTTTATTTGTTTATTTATTTGTTTATTTGTTTGTTTATTTGTTTATTTATTTGTTTATTTATTTATTTGTTTGTTTATTTGTTTATTTTGTTTATTTATTTGTTTATCTATTTGTTTATTTGTTTATTTATTTGTTTGTTTATTTGCTTATTTGTTTATTTATTTGTTTATCTATTTGTCTATTTGTTTACTTATTTGTTTATTTATTTTTTATTTGTTTATTTATTTTGTTTTTGTATTTGTTTGGTTGTATCTTCTTTGTATTTTTATTGTGTTTATGCCTGTGCTTTTATTCTTTATATATTTTCTTATTTTTATATTATTATTTAATTGCCCTTTTATTATATTTACATTTATTTGTTATTTATTTGTTTATTTTAGTTTGTTTTTATATTTGTTTAATTGCAGTTTCTTGTTTTTGTTATGTTTATAGTTATACTTTTATTGTTTGTTTTAATATTAATTGAATTGTATTTTCTTTTTGTCTTTATCATACTTATTGCTGTACTTTTATTGTCTTTTTAATATCTTTTTGTCTTTATATTTGTTTAATTCTATTTTTTTTCTACTCACATTATGTTTGTACTTTTGCAGTTTTATTATCTTTTTATTTATGTCATTTTAATTTTATTTCTATTCTAATTTACTTTGAATTTTAATTTAATTTTAATTTTAATCTTAATTTTAATTTTGATTGTAATTTTAATTTAATTTTAATTTAATTTTAATTTTAATTCATTTTCATTTCTTTTTTGTAGATGCTACAAATGCCGAAGGCTTCTTTTGTTCAGAACTTATTGCAGGAGCATGGAGGGTGCGTTGCTGCTGCTGCTGCTGCTTCTGCAGTAGTTGCTGCTTTTGCTGCTGCTGCTGTTGCTGCTGCAGTAGTTGCTGTTGTTGCTGCGGTTGCTGCTGCTGTTGTTGCAGTAGTTGCTGCTGCTGCTACTGCTACTGTTAGTCGTGCTGCTGTCGCAGTAGTTTCTTCTGCTGCTGTTATAGTTGCTGCTCTACAACAGTTGTTGTTGTTGCTGCTGCTGCTGCTAGAAAATGTGCTGCTGAGGTGTATGTACACCTCAGGTGATGGGGGTAATTCCTGAAGACGCGATTTGCGCCCAATACTGGCCAGGCAAGTTTTAAAGAATTAAGTAATTATATATTTATTCATCTATTTATTTATTTATTTATTTATTTATTTATTTATTTAAACTATAATTTCGGTATTTCATTATTTGATTATTTTATCTTTAGAGTGGTTAAGGTTTAACGTGGACTGCCGCCTTGTCCATTTTAATTTTATATTTTTAATTTAATTTCTTTGGTTCTATTTCGGTTTTATCTGTTGCCGTTTCTGCTGCTGCTGCTGCTCTCCTTATTGCTGCTGCTGCTGCTGCTGCTTTTGCTGCTGCTGCTGCTGCTTAAAAAAGCTTTCTTCTCATTTATTTCCACCGATGTCTTTTATTTCTTTTCCTCTTTTGTCTTCTTTTGTGATGTATTTTGTCTATTTTCTTTTTCTTTTTTATTTTTATTTGTTTATTTATTATTTATTATTATTTTTTATTATTTTTAATTTTTAGAATCTTTTTCGCAACGTCTTGACAGCCAACTGGGGCTGACTGAGGGCTGCACTTTGGGGGAGGAGTTGCTGCTGGACTTCTGTCTGTACACCCCAGAGCAGCAGCAGCAGCAGCAGCAGCAGAAGCAGCAGAAGGGACACAAAAAGAAAAAGCCAAAGCCCAAACAAACTCCAGAGCAGCTGCCAAAGATGGTCAGCTCCTTGCAGGCGCCCCGCGCAGCACGGGAGAAGGAAGCAGCAGCAAAACTCACGAACAGCAGCAGCAGCAGCAGCAGCAGCCCAGCAGCAGCAGCAGCAGCAGCAGCGGACACAGAGGACTCATCAGCAGCTCGAGAGACAGGTCTTGTACAGACACCCCAGATGGAGAGATTCAAGAAGCTAAGGAGGAAAAATTCAAGTTTAAAGCGCCAGCAGCAGCAGCAGCAGAAACAGGAGCAAGAGCAGCAACAGCAGCAGGACCAGCAGCAGCAGCAGCAGCAACAGCAGCAACACGAACAGCCGCAGCAGCAACAACCCGACCAAACGCAGCAGCAGCAACACGACCAAGAGCAGCAGCAACAAAAACACGACAGAGAGCAGCAGCAGTAACAGGAACACTAGCAAGGGCTCGAACAGCAGCAGCAGCAGAAACACTAGCTACAGCAGCAGCAAAAAAACTAGCTGCAGCAGCAGCAGCAACAACAGCAGCAACAGTAGCAACAGCTACAGCAGCAACAGCGATATTTTGAAAGAAGAAAGGCGGCTGTGCTTTTTAAATACTTTATGCCGCTTGGCAGTATTGCCAGAGACAGGAAACAAAGCAGCAGCAGCAGCAGCAGTAGCAGCAGCAGCAGCAGAAGCAGCAGCAGCAGCAGTAGCAGCAGCAACAAAGGTAAGGACGCAAACGACATGTGGACTGGTGCAAGTACACCCCTGCACGTAGGTAAAAGCTGCTGCTGCAGCAGCAGCAGCAGCTGCAGCAGCAGCAGAAGCAGCAGCAGCAGCAGCAGCCGCTGCAGCAGCGGCGCCAGTTTTTGTTTGGCCGGTTTTGCTGCTTCTGCTGAAGCACTGAGAAAGGTTGCATGCATGCAGCAGCAATTTTTATTTGAGCGAAGCAATTTGGGGCTTGGGCTTGGGGTGTACGTACACCTGAGGTTTCCGAGGGTTTGAGCTGCAGCGCGGGGTGTATGTACAGCTCTTGTGGGGTTTAAATGCCCAAATTGCAATTCTTAATTGCAATTAAATATATTTAAATGCATATTTCAAAAATATGCTTTTAATTTATATATTGAAGCAGCAGGGAGCCCCGTTTGAGTCTTGCTGCTGCTGCTGCTGCTGCTGCCAGGTGTACGTACACCGCAGCGCCAGCGCGCCAAGATACCTCGAACCCCAAACCCTAAACCCTAAACCCTAAACCCTAAACCCTAAACCCTAAACCCTAGTCGTTAGTCTTCAGAGGGCCGGCCCTTTGCACTGCGGCGGCTGCCTGCTGCTTCTCCCTTTTCGTTCTGCTTCCCTCGCTGCTGCTGCTGCTGCTGTTGCTGCTGCTGCTGCGTCTGCCGCTTCGCCCTGCTTCCCCTCCTCCTCCTGCTGCAGCTGCTCCTGCTGCTGCTGCTGCTGCATTGCTGCATGCAGCACTGCCTGCACTCTTTTGTCATTTATAATTTGTTCTGTTTTTGGTCTACTTGCTTCCGCTCGCAAGTCGAAGGGGTATCGGGCGAAAAGCAAATCCACCTGAAACGCCGCAGGGTTTAGGGTTTAGGGTTTAGGGTTCAGGGTCTAGGGTTTAGGGTTTATGGTTTGGAGTACGAGATGGTTTTGCACTGGAGCTTCAGCGGCTGGCTCTGCTCTTCGGGTGGGCCACGTGTAGGGTGTAGGGTTTAGGGTTTAGGGTTTAGGGTTTTGGGTTAGGGTTTAGGGTTTAGGGCTGGAGCTGTGGGGCTTGGGACGCAAGTCTATTTTCTTGTTCACTACTCATTGCTCAGTGCAGGTAGGGTTTAGGGTTTAGGGTTTAGGGTTTGTAACCTCTTCATCTTGGCTGAGCTCTTGCTTCGGGATGTGTTTGCTGTTGTGGCAGCGCTGGTGGTGATGGTGCTGCTGCTGCTGCTGCTGCTGCTGCTGCTGCTGCTCTGCTGCTGCTAGTCTGGCGCCTCTGGCTGCTGCCCTGAGGCTCGCGAGGCATCCCGCGTGCGTCTGCTGCTGCTGCTTCTGCTGCTGCTGCTGCTGCTGCAGCTGGTTTTTCTTGTCTCTGTGGGCGGCTTGTGTGTGCTGCGGGGCTTCCCTGAGGGGGCTGCTGCTGGTGCTGCTGCCGCCACTGCCCCCCTGCTGCTGCTGCTGCTGCTGCAGCAGCAGCTCGCCGTCAGGCCCAAAAAGAGAAGGATAATGACTTGCTGCATAAGCTCGCGTGTCTGCTGCTAGCGGCTGCTGCTGCTCAAAAATTGTTTCAAGATTTACATCTTTGAAAAAAGGATGCGCCAAAATATCCGCAGCTCTTTTGTAACGCACCGACGCGTCGCACACCAGCCTGACACAAACCCTAAACCCTAAACCCTAAACCCTAAACCCTAAACCCTAACCCTTTAACCCTGGAAACCTGAACCCTGGATCCTGAACCCTAAACCCTAGCTAGTTGGACCCGCTGCGTCTTCGGCCCAGTGTGGTTTTGCTGCATTAGTCCAACGCCCGCAGAGGACCCCTAAACCCTAAACCCTAAACCCTAAATATAAACCCTGAATGTAAACCCTAAACCCTAGCCGCTCACTTCTGCATGAGAGAAATCGCTTCGGGGGAGAGGATTGAGGATATTGGGGAAGGGTACGGAATTCTGCAAAACAAACCCTAAACCCTAAACCCTAAACCCTAAGTGCAGCAGCAGCAGCAGCAGCAGCAGCAGCAGGAGAGCACCCACACCACCACCCCCTCCCTCCCCAACAGCACCCGCACCCCACCCCGCATCCC